TGGATTGAAAAGCTTGCCCGGCATCCTTGTCAGCGCACTGAAGGTATTGCAGGAAGAGAAACACTGCAACAGGTGAGCAACTAAGTGTGCCTTATAGAACCATAAAAAATTAGGGTTGGAAGGGACCTCAGGAGGTCATCTAGTCCAACCCCCTGTTCAAAGCAGGACCATCCCCAACTATATCATCCCACCCAAGGCTTTGTCTAGCCAAGTCTTATAAACCTCCAGGGATGGAGATTCTACAGCCTCTCTGGGTAACCGGTTCCAGTGCTTTACTACCCTCCTAGTGAGAAAGTTCTTCCTAATATCTAAACTTCCCTTACTGCAACTTGAAACCATTGCTCCTTGTTCTCTTATCTGCCACCACTGAGAACAGTCTAGCTCCATCCTCTTTGGAACCGCTTTTCAGGTAGCTGAATGCTCCTATTAAATCCCCTCTCAGTCTTCTCTTCTCCAGACTAAATAAGCCAGTTTCCTCAGTCTCTCCTCAGAAGCCCCAGGCCTCAAACCATTTTCATTGCCCTCCACTGGACTCTCTCCAATTTATCCACAACCTTTCTGTAGTAGGGGGCCCAAAACTGGACAGTGTATTCCAGATGTGGCCTTACCAGACCAACATGGCTACAACCTATACCCCAGAATAGAGGTATTCACTTCCCTCGATCTGCTGGCAATGTTCCTACTAATGCAGCCCAGTATGCCATAGGCCTTCTTTGCAACAAGGGCACCCCGTTGGCTCATATTCAGCTTACTAGCTAATTACCCATCAAGGGGCTAGGATGGAGTGCTGCCATCTAACGCCCCGTGCTGCCACTGTTCTGCCTCTTGCAGGGAGCAGGGTGGGGGAGCCTAGGCCAGCTCTGCTGGCTGGCCTCGGCTCCCCCGCCCCCTGTCCAGTCCTCGGCGTTGCTTCGGAATCATGGTGGCACTTCCCCAAGCTTGAAGCACTCTGATTGGCTGTTTCTGTCAGCCAATCAGAGTGCGGATAAAGCGTTATGAAT